GCCACTCGGCCGTCCCCCAGGCATTCCTTTTAAAGGGCCCATGCAAGATTTACTCACTGACAGACGTACTCATTCTGAACTCCAGCACCAGGGCAGCAACTTGAAAGACACCAAGGGCATACAGAGAAGAACTGAATTGTCTGGCTTCAGGAAAAGGGCTAAAGGGGCAGCTTTCTCCCAGACACAAGTGATGGCAGAAGCCATTGTTCCTTTGCTGAGCTCTCTCCCTACTCAGCCTGCACCTACAAGTAGGTGCCATATCTGAGTCTTCATCATTCTAACTAATACAGTTGCCCCACCCTGGTGATTCCCTGAGACCCACCCCACTCAACTCTTGGGCCTGCCCAAGCTACTTCCATTGTCTTTTCCATACAAACAGCCTCTCTGGGCTTGTGCTGCGGACTTTCCTAGAAACCCCAAACAAGCAACACCTGGCCTTAGTGTGCCCAGTACCTCTTGATGAGCAGTCCTAAGCCTGGCACAAGCAGCAGCTGGCATCAGTTTATAGCTTATCTCTTCAAGGCACCTCCAAGACCAGCACAAATGGCAACCATTTGCAGATCACTTTGTAGCTCATACTAAGTGGCCCTGGGTGGGGGACAGGCAGCAGCTAACCTTGACCTGCATCAGAGCACCTCCCATGAGGCTCCAGATCCAACACATCTGGTGGCCAGCTTCAGACCACACCAGACCACCACCCAACCACCTCCACAAATGACACCCAAAGGGCAGGCTTGGCAAGCATCAGAGACCTGCTAAAACAAATCCTACTCCATAGGGTCAGCCATTGCACACCAGCTTCTTTGCTGTAGTCATGGCCAGTCCTCACAGCCAATTAGCTTGAGGGTCAATACCTCCCATTGATCTGCAAACAGCAATTGAGGCTCAACTACAACAGGATGGCACACACAACCCACAAAAGGGACACACCTGGAGTACCTGGCTGAGGTGACCAGGGAGACTGCATCACAGGACACCTACTACATAAGGCCAATCTATCAAGATCGGGGGACATAGCAGCTCTACCTAACACATAGAAACAAACACAGGGAGGCAGTCAAAATAAGGAGACAAACATGTCCTAAATGAAAGATCAGAACAAAGCTCCAGAAAAAAAAAAATGGAGACAAGCAATCTACCAGATGCAGAGTTCAAAACACTGGTTATAAGGATGCTCAATGATCTCAGTGAGAACTGCAACCAAGACATATGAAACATAAAAATGGAGATAGGAAACATAAAAAAGAGCCAGTCAGAAATGAAGATTATAATAACTGAAATAAAGAATACATTAGAGGGAATCAAGAGTAGATTAGATGAAGCTAAGGATCAAATCAGTGATTTGGAAGATAAAGCAACATAAAACACCCAATCAGAACAGCAAAAAAGAAAAGAAAAGAATCCAAAAAAAATGAAGAGAGTTTAAGGGGTCTTTAAGAAAACAGCAAGCATACCAACATTCACATCATAAGGGTAACAGAACAAGAAGAGAGAGAGCAAGGAATTGAAAACCTATTTTACTGTATGAAGTACAGCATAGAGAATATAGTCAAATAGTCAATAATATTGTAATAACTTTTATAGTGTCAGGGCACTAGATTTATCGGGGTGATTATTTTGTAAGTTATATAAATTTGTAAGTTATATAAACATCTAATCACCATGTTGTACACCTGAAACTCATACAATATTGTATGTCAAACATAACTGAAAAAAAAATTTTAAAAATAAAATAATGTAAAAAACACATTCATAAGTCTTTTTTTGAATTTTTGCCCCAAAAGACTCATGATTTTTAACATGGTAGGTGAATAATTTACATGGTAGGTGAATAATGGTAGGTAGAATGAATAATTTATGTGTTTTCAGATGGTTGATAGAAAACTTAGGCATTCATTACAGTTAAATGGTAATAGTGTTTGATTTTAGAAAATCTGACCTAAGGATGGAAAAGTTTCCTTTATTTCTGTCCCTCAACTCTAGCTAAGAACTTCTTGTACCCTTCTAACACCTGCTACCAATGTGTTCATTACTAACAATTTACAATTCAATCTGTTGTTCATGCAACAAGAAAAGCAAGATTAAGTAAATGTATAGATGAGTCAGCTTTTATTTTAGTTTTAATATCAACTTTCTTCCAGATCGATTCTTTTACCACAGATACTAACAACATAAAAAGAATCAGTGAGTTTAAAAGTCTACCTTTCTCCTTCTATCTTGAACTGGAGATCCTAGAAGAAAAAAAGACACTGAATCCATCTGAATGATTTGTCGATAATTAAAAAGGTCCTTGAATAATTGAGTTGATTTATCTGTAGGGATTATTTAGTGCTTTTTTTCTCTGGCATCTTGAAGAATGAAGATTCTTTGTTTGGTTCCTTAGAAAGTTATGTCTATTCCTTTTAGTTGCTCAGAACATGAAACAGTCATATTTCAATAATTACTTAGGGTTTTAGATGAACCCATGGATCTTACAATAGATTAGAACTTTGTTTTCTATTGATTTATTGCTCTTACCCCAATGGAAGATTTAAATAATTCAAGTGAATATGTACCTTGATCTAGATTGGCTCATTTCTTCAAGAATAATAGAAAAGTGCTTCCAAGTTTTCTCAGTATGGGATGAGTGTGCACAAAGTGTCTTTGAATTGCCAAACAAAGACAGGAAATAATCCTCTCCTTCCCCAGTCACAGCTGTCTCAGAAGCATGAAACAACACAGTCTTTTTCTTTGGAATTATGAAGCTGTTGACTCCTTTCCATGAAATCAAAGAGGAAAAAAAAGAGAGAGTGAAGTAAAAAAAGGACATTAAAAGAACCCAAAGTCACTATTGTTATTCTTTGCTTCTACAAAATTACTTTATATTCTTTATACATTTTATTACCACTGCCAAACTAAATGAAGATAGTTAAAAACTTTAAACCAAAGTCTATAAAATAACCAGCAAGTGGTTGTTTTTAGAGGTACTCAATTCTTAGAGATTATTTCAGTTATCTTAAACTGTTAATTATATCATCAGATAATAACTGATTATTTAGTTGTACTAGAAGCACCATAAGTTTTTCAGTAGGTAAAACATTTGAGTCTCTCTAATTTAGGTATGTTTTATATAAATAGAACTTGATTCTATTTCACATTAGCTATTCTCTCCATATTGCTACCCATAAATTAAAGCTTCAAATGAATCCTTTCATACCAATGGGTAATACCTTTGCCAGGTAAAGACTTAAATTTCCTCTCATCAACTAAAATACTTAATTGGAAAAATAAAATAATGGCTCATCAGATTCTAGTGTCCTCTTGGAAATCTACTCCTTTAAAATTCTCGCTACTAAGATTCAAACACAAAATAAGTTTCATGATTTTGCATAGAAAGAACCGCACTGGGTAAATCATAATATATCTGTAAAGAGAGGGTGACACGACAGAGAGGCATCATGATGAAGTGGATAGACCAATATGTCTTGGATTTAGACAGACCTGCAATTGTATCCCAGAGCTGTCACTTACTAAGCCAACTGATTTAAACTTTCCAATTCTCAGTTTTCCTGAAAATAAAATAAGGATAATACCACCTTAATAAGATGATGTGAGAATTGAAGGTAATGTAGGTGTCTAGCAGTGTCTAGTATTTTGCAGATACTCAATGAATGATAGCTATTACTGTATGATGGTGGCTTTGGTTAATGTGACCTTGGGTCCAAAATCATCAAAGGATTAACACAATCTAGAGTTTGCTTTATATTCTTGTATCTTTAACAAAACCAAAGTGAGGTGCAAGATGGAAAGGAATAAACTCATAGTTCCTAAAGAGGATTCTTCAAAGTATATTGTTTAGGAGAAATGTTTGGAATTAAATTAGTTGATCCCCAATTAAGTGAGTATTTACTTAATGCTTAAATTACTTTGGGCTGAATATATAGCAGCTCTTTTAACAGCTCATCCTGAAGGAAGAAAACATTTTTGTTTTAAAAGGAAATAAGACACATTAATTTTCGTCCCAGTCATTATTTCATCAAGAAGAGCAGATGGAAATGAACCAAATGCATCAAGTCACAGCAAACCCAGACATCTATCTATAGAAGCAGAATCTCCAGTAACTCAAGAAGTCTACAGCATAGCTGAACTCTCATCTTGCAAGGGGAAGCCACTCTTATTTTTTTTTCCACTAGTACTAGGAGCTTTCACCATTTAATCCAAATATAGAACATATGCTATGATAATACAGTGCCAAAGGATGGAAAATACCCCCTTAGATATAAAAATCTGTATTTTCACTTTTAAACATATGGATTTGGTCATTGCTAAAGGTCAGTGTGAACTTCACAGGCTTCTTTGAGAAGTGTATCTTAGGCATGCAAACAATGAAATATAGCGAATATGACGATAACAGCAGTAAGCCAAAGTCCTATACAACATTGTGTCAGAGGCTTAGGAAAATGCCCGAAACAAAATCAAATACAGATAAGCAGTGTCCAGGCTGTAAATATCCACAGAATAGCAGAGAAAAATGGAGGCATCAGGTCAAGAGTGTGTTTATGCTCAATTTTGAAACTTGTTAGTTGACTGGTCAATGAAATATAGATCCCAAATCTAGCCTATTCTATGAGAAGGTGCTTATAAATATATTCAGATCCACAACAAATTTTTATTGAGTACTTACCATGTGCTAGGTGATTTTCGTAAATATGTCATTTAATCTTTAGGATAGCCCTATGAAGTTGATATTTTAACCCCCATTTTGCAGCTGTGAAGCATGGGACTCAGTGATGCTAAATGCCTTACCTAATGTATCACATTGTAGGGAGCAGAAAGATAGTTTGAACGTAGGTCCTTTGTTTCCAAGGACAGTGGTCTTTTTTAGTAAACTACTAACACACCCTCCAAGCACCCTACAGTGTGGATATTGCTGAGGGCATTGTTGGCAACTTTACTTCGTCCTACCATAGTGCTGTTTTTATTTTACTCTCCTTCAAATTCTTTATGGTTTCCCCCTTTTCTCTCTCCACTATTTTACCTACTTTTTTGTCTTCTTTTTTTATCTAGCTGTCTTTTCCTTACCAAAGCCCTAAATCTCCTAAAGGCACAAAGTACACAAGACATTGCTTAATCTTTCTGGTAGCATTCAGAGGGAGAGAAGATACTGCTATCTCTGTGTATTAGATTTTTTAATTATCCAGCAATTCTAGAACATCTAAGCAGTCAACCCATGAACCATTATGATAACTCAAGATATTTTAATCATGAGGGTGATATATTTGGCTACATGCATTTATGTGACTGGAATATTACTCTAGTAGTAGGACCAGCAGTAAGCGTAGTCAATACCCTGCATACAACATCAAGAAATTAGTATTATTGGAGACAAACAATAAAATATCATTCTGGCTTCTAGACACATAAAGAATCTATTGAACTATATGCTTTAAAAATAGTCTATAAAATTTGGTATATGTTTTGCTTACCTAAGCTGCTTTCTGATTGGGAATGGCTCACTGTAGTTGATTTAAGAGCCTTTGGTGCAATTGTTGGTATATTTACTCCACTAATCTGAGGGCTGGACAGAGAGTAACTGAGAGGCATTTCAGTGGATAATGACCACGAAGATGGCAGTGCTGTGATATCTGAATTTGTCATACTTGAAAAAAAATGTACTGAAGGTGGTTGTGTCCTTGAGAGATTGGCATGTGCATCTTCTTCTCTGTGTACAAAAATTAGTATAATAAACAAAGTTAAGAAAGTCCAAAAGAATACACTATGAACACAAGGGGCATGAACTATCATTATTACCCGGAGTTCTGCTTTTCAAAGGTATTATGCATCTAACAGAGGCGCAAGAACATTCTATATTTCTAGTTTTAATCATCTAAATAGAAAACTTTAATATCAAATCAAACGATGCTTTTTTTTTCTTTTAAAAATCAATAAATTCCTATTGCAGATCGTTTTGAAAAAGTGTAAAAGTAGAAAGAAGAAAATAAAAATCAACTCATTTTCTTCCAGGCTTTTAAATGCATTTGTTTTTACACAAAATTGAGACGATATAAACCCTTTATATCCCACTTTCATCATTCATTAGATCATATTTCCCCTTTCTATTAACATAAAAATATAATTTCTGCTTAATATTTCCTGCTTACTATACTTTTTTCCTTTAGCTCATGCTGCTGAACTAATTTTCCTATGTTTATAAAGATTCTAAAGTCTGTTTTCAAATACACTCTGCAAACTAATAACTATAAATACAGTACACATGTGTACATATGCATATATGTGTATGTGTGCATGTGCGAATGTTGAAGGGATTAGCAGAAAAGAGGGAGAAGAAAGACTTAATTTCCAGGTACTATTTTTATAAGTAAATCTTACTATGAACAAAGATTTTCTTTTCTTTTTTTGTAAATATAAAAACATTTATTAACGAGTGCACAGCCATTTAAAAAAAGTCCCTAAGCTATAGTACAATTATTTTACAAGTAAAACAATATTTTCATGGCATGGATTATGAAAAGGCTTATAACAACTTCATTTTATGAGTCACATTGAGATTCTTCTCAGTAAACTAAAAGCAATCTGTGTGTGTGTGTGTGTGTGTGTGTGTGTGTGTGTGTTTAATGCTTGAATCATGAACGAAGTTCTGGGGTTCAAAACCTTTTAGCTCTCTGAAAAACTGGATAAATGGCCAGTTCAAACACCCCCAGGGGTCACATATCTCACTGTCATTCAGGAGCTAAGTATTTTATCTCCATGCATTGTCTCTATTTTTATCTCTTTGTTTTCCAGAGTTCCTATAAAGTTATTTTAGCCAGTGTTCTGTTTTGGTTTTTTTTCCAAACATTTCCATAAAGGAACGGGGTTGTGGGGAGGCCTGGACCTTCCTAATCTGCCATCTTGCTAATGTCAGCCTCAATCTCTCTGTTTACCAAAAGGTATGCACTATCATTTTGTTCTACAATTTATAAGTTCCTTCAACAGAAGTATTGTATCTGGAGAGCTTTGTACTCAAAACCAAACTTCTCTAAATGTACCTCTCAGGAGGCACAGACATCTCTGGCAAATTATTTTTTATAATTAAATGGCGTTGGCTTTGAAAATTGCATTGTTAATAGCCCAGTACTTATTAAGCTTGAGTACTTGCCGTCCTGTTGACACTTCAAGCTCTCATCTTTGTCAGAAAAGGTCTAACCCATGAAGATACACTTGAGTATGACTGTGGTGGTAGTGGGAAGGAGGCTATAGCAATCAATTGTCAAATTACAAATATTTCATCTCTGTCCAACCTGAGACAAGGTCAGATGACATGATGTCTCCCTGACACTGGCTAGAATAAGCAGAAAAAGTACTTTTTTCTTTCAAAGTTCCTTACATATGGGTTTCATTAGACAAGCTGGTTATATCTTTTCAACATGCTCATTTTATAAGCTCTGAATTTTTTTTCTTCCTTCAGTAAAACAATAGCATTTCCAAATAAGTTTAATTCTACAAAAGATTCCCAATAAGCCTTTGCAAATGTTGCAATCAAAGGAAACTGGCGTAGGGCCATGGGGTGTTCTTATTTTTGTATTTGCATAAGTAACTTCTAATGGCTGCACACACCCTTGGAGGAGCTGAAACATTTCAGGAAGAGACGTTCATGACGCAGCCCATTTTCTGAAAACCGTGCACTCACACACCTATTAGAGTCCTTTTGGAAGATGAAATATTTATCTTAGCGCTTAGTTAGCTTTTCTTTAGCATATGGCATTTTCCAAGCCCCTTCTTAGTACTTAGCTCCCTCTGTAATTGATTAGCACTCAACCAGAAGCAGTTATACAAGTTCAATTGCAACATTTCAGTGTTATTTTGGGAGATGCTGCATTGGCGATACTGACAGCCATCATTTCTCAGATGACCCCTAAGAACAAATATTTTTTAAATGGACTTGAACTGAACAGTAAACACAGGACATCTAGGTTCAACGTAGCGTTAGCTTTAAACTATATATATATATATATATATATATATATATATATATATATATATATATATATATATTCAATACTACAGTTGTAGTTTTTATTTAATATCTTCACAGACATTTCTGAAACCAAAATTCTCCAGCAATTCTTTGCCCTCAGGTCAGGAAAGTATTATAGTTCTAAAGACATTGTCTGCCAGTTGACTTAACATGTTAGGTAGGCTGTTAGGTAGGCGCTTGGGATTCCCAGCCAGGTCTGATAAGATGATCTGTCTAAATGCATTTTTATATTACTCAAGGACTGAACCTTATAAAACAGTGGTTGGGGATATAGTTGCATGTTATAGTTAGTTAATTTTAGAAAATGTGTGGAATCAGTTCTCGTTCTAACTACTTCATTAGGACAAGAGGTGAAGTACTCCAACATTATCTTCTAACGCTCAGACACGTCTGTGCTCTCATTTGTGCCGTTCTTACTGTGCCTGTTCCTCCATTTTATCTTCCTGGTCACGGACTTCACTCTGCAGGAACCCTGGAGTTTCCTGGATGGTTCGTCTGTCTTTCATCTTGGCTAGAAGAGAAGTCTCTTTTCTTTCCTGGGAAAATGGATCATGACATTAGGCAATGAATATAACTGAGGTTCGAGCCAGACTTTCTTTTTCAAGTGACCTCACCTGTTAATCTAACTACCTTAGAGCACCTGCCAGGTTTAGCGATTTCTTTACCAAGCTGGTGCAAGGACCAGATTCTAATGGGAATATGTAAACCTTGACATAGCCAATACTGATATTGGCTAAGGCTATTAGACAAAACAAGTTGAAGGTGTGAAGCGTTCCCTGGAAGCAGCTCAGGAGGCAGGGTGGTAACCTAGCATGGCTATCTTTGTGACTACAACTTTTATATCTGGCCACGACTGCCTGTTAGAACCCCGTGAGGTAATGTTGCCATAGTTACAAGGTTCCAGTCTCTGAACAATTGCTGTGTTGGTGCTGTACCTGCTTTGCAGTTTGCAGACATTAAATAAGGTAACCTGATTTTAGGTGAGCTATATCTCCCACCACACAAACTTTGTCACCAAAATGTTTGATATCCTATTTTGGATTTCTGAGGGTCAAGGCTAGTATGTAATAAATATTGGGGAGTTAATCACTGTTTTTGAATGCTTATTTTAAACAAATTTTTGTATTGTTTTGAAAAATACTCCTTAAATACATGGTAACAGCCAAACAGCAGGAACAGAAAATGTATATACTTTTAAGGAAAAAATAAAATAAAATAAAACAAAAACCCTACTGGTAGTAATAGTGAAATCAAAGCCAGGAGACCTAAATTCTCTGAGTTATGCCAGCAGTATGATTAAATCACTTAATTCAGATTCTACTTTGAATAAAGAGATCCATACTTAATGTTTCATGATAATGAGGGTATAAGAATAAAATTAACATATATGAAAATACATGATTTTATACAATGATATGATATATTAGTGATAATGATTACTGGATAAGTTAATTTAAAAAATATTTAAATGAGCATCTACTATATAAGCAGGAAACAGCAAGGTACTAGGAATAAACAACTCCTGCTTCAAGGAATAATGATAAAACATCTTCCAATTTAGATTAGAAATGGCTTCCATCTTAGACTAATAAACAGTATTTAATACAAAGGACAATGAACAAAGTAACTGTTTTAATAAATCAAAAGAAAAAATAAGAGATATATCACATAATGAGGCAAGTCAGCAAGAGGAGGGTAAACATTTGACTATATTTTCTCCATCTCGGAGATGAAGTATAATTTCTTATAAGTGTTATGGGCCAATTTTGTAAATATAGCATAAAGAGATTTATAAATTTATACTTATGCTTAGAAAATAATTAAAAATGAATTTATTATTTCTTGCCACTACCATAGTTTCCCTAACTCTACCATCTGTCCAGATGGTTTCCTAGCTGTTAAAATTTCTATACTTGAATATATTAGCATGAAGTCATTATGACTGCATTTGTTTTATCATAGAGCCTATTCACATTTTCCAACATAGAGGAACAAATTTATGTCAACTGAGAAAAGCTTTGGAAACCTTTAAATGTGTTAATGTTTCAATAGTCATTCCCCATACAGGATATTTTCCTTATTTCCTTTCCCAAAATTATAGCATATATGCAACTAAAACCAATTTCCTCTTTTCCTGTTGCTTGAACTAAGTCAGTGGTTTTCAACAGGGGATGAAGTGAACCATAGGGGGCATTTTGTAAATATGAGGAGACATTAATAGTAGTGATAAAGATTTGGTGGGGTGCCACTGGCTTTTAGTGGACAGGAGCCAGCTGCTAAATTTCTGCAATGTGACAGATAATCTTATTTGGCAAAGAATTTTCCCATGTATCACATGATTTTCCAGAGAATCATGCAGATGAAAAATAGTTCATTATTAGCTGAGCCTACAGCCTAACTCTATATTACATATAAATACAAAATATTTTTGCACGCTTTTAATATATACCAATTTTTCCAGAAAGTAATGATTTACTGCTTACATTGAGGGAAGATTGTATATTGGTTTGTTCAGTCCTTTTGCAAGAGTTGTCCATCAATATGGAAAAATTACATCATCAATGGCAATACAACTTGGTGTATTCATGTGGTTGATGTAACTTACCTGACATAGGTAATAATAGCAACAACAACAATAATAATAATAATAAAATCAACCTGAATCTGATGACTCCTCTAACTTACATATATGCAGAAAACAGAAAATTAAGAGATTTAAAAAACATCCTTTGTAATTTGTGGATATAATTTATATTCTAATTCAAGTAAACTGTAAAAAAATTATAAGACATTGGAAACTTAAGCACACTAGGTAGCTAATGATATTAAGGAATAGCTGTTAAATATTTTAGGTGTGTTATGGCATTATGATTTTATTTCTTACAGAGGATCCTTATTGTTTAGTGACACATACAGAAACATTTATAGGTAAAATGATACAATGTATGGACTTGCTTCAAAATAATACAGAGGGTAGGGAGTGGAAATAGATTAAAAAGATGGGCTGTGACTTGTAATTGTTGAAGCTAGATAATGGGTACATGGGGATTCATTACACATTATGTTTATTTTTTCTGTAGATGCTTGAAATTCTCCATAGGCAAAAGACTAAGAAAGGGAGGACCATTTTAGGATGTGTAGACTTCAAACCTTGAGAGGATCATCATTATGGCTGTCTGTAGTTCAGGAAAACAGGGTCAAGCAAGAGTGGCAAGGGAAAGGCAGAAACATTTAATGTTTGTGGGATGCAACAGTCTTTACACAGGTTCTTTCAGTACAGCTCTGGAACACGGGAATTTCCCCATTTTCCCAAATGAGGAAGCGTAAGTTCAGAGGGATGAATACCTCTTCTAAGGTTATATGGCCAATAGATGGCAGAGCCAGGATTTGATCACACATCCGCTTGTTACAAAGACCCCTCCACTGTTCTCTATTTCTCTGCTATAATTTCTGTCAGCATCTTTTTAATTCCTTCCGTGTTAATTGCCTAACCAATTATCTTCTCCTGAACCAGCTTATATACTCCTGATTTTTCTCTCTACTCTGGTCTCTAATCACTTTCTCCTCCAGCTTCCAGACCCTGTGTCAATTTTCTGTCTGGCTTTACCCTCTGTTGGGAAAACACCAGAATTCTGCACTAGAAATTTAAGCCCCATAAGAGTAGATATAGGGTAAAATAGGATTTAGAAAACTGAATTTTATAGTGTGATCTTTTACCTTGATTAAGAGAAAATGAAAACTGGCAAAATAACATATTCGGCAATTAAAAAACAGGCAAAACATTACATGTACATAATTTTTGAAAAGCTGAAAAACACAAAGAACTGGCTTTATGTCTTCTAGTTCTGTCTCCACATATGGAGAACATTTGCACAATAGGGGATTTTATTAAATTGGTATATAAATAAAGTGCCTTGTGTGAATGAAGGCTGCGTACATAAAGAGAATTTTCCTTCTCTCTTAGGCCATGGGTGGGACTTTCCAAATTGAGTAATATGTAGTTGAGGATTATAATTTAAAACATGACATGTTCCACTATCTAAGATTCAAAGAATTTGTGTATATATAGTAATATAGTTTCACATGCACAAATGTAGAATAAATTCCTGTTGTAAAGCATCTTGCTAGTGAAACAATGACCTGGGTTGGTTCATTTCCGTCACAGATTCACATGTATGTAAACAACACAGTCTCGGACATAGATGTTATTATTTTACCCTGAAGTCAGGGTGACGGTAAGGTCCTGCTGGAGGTGTTCACAGAGAGGATAAAAGACCATTTATTGGGAGGTTTAAGTTTTAGATAGTTTTTCCAAATACCTTCATGGGACTTCCCAATCAAAAACTCTATTACCACAACATTAAGATCTTAGGTCTGCCTACGTGATGTTCAGTGTCAGTGGTCTGAACCCTCAGACATTCATATCAATTTGAGCAATTTCATACATAACTGCATAGTTACTTTACATATCGGGCATGTGTATTGTAGGCCTAGCCTTTATCTATCGATCTTTCTATCCATGTTCTTTAGAGGAATATAGTTATTATTCTAAGATGGGATCGCAGACTTGTTCAGGAGGCAAGGATCCACCACACATGATCTTATTTGCAGAATACCACGTTCTTGGTAAAACATTTTAAAAAATACAAATCAATATATTTTTAAATTTAATCTATACATGATTTCCATATGTTTTTACTAGCAAAAAGAAATCCATTTCGTACTATTTATATGCCATATAAACTCACAGCCAGCAGCTCACACGTCTTAAAACAAAATAAAACACCCAACAAACTGCTGAACCAGGAACAAATGGTTAATTTTGAGTTTTCCTATTGATATGAATTTGCCATTTCATTTTCTTTTGTCATCTACTGGCAACCTTTAGCAGAAAATTGGTGTCTGGAGTCCAAGATTTGTAAAACATTATTGGAGAACAATTTGAATTGAGAAAATGCTGTCCACTAACTTTTCCCCCCTCTGCAAACAGGGTAGAGACCATCTTTATTCAATATTACAGTTGAATGTTCCCTCTCTACAATTTATGAAACACTTGAGCGCCACAGGAGCCCTGTGTGAGAAGCACTGGATTAAAGGAATATGAAAGAGAGCTTTGAGAAACCTGAGCACGAGCCTTATCCATGGCCTCAGACACTAATATAAGACTGTATGGAGCCCAGCCAAGCTCAGTATGGAAGCACAGAGGCAAGCAGAGGCCTAGACCCTGCTCTCTCTCCCTCGCTGGTCACCACACACGTAACACATTTGATCACTATAGCTTCTGTTATCATTATTCTTATTTATGATGGCAATAGCCGACAAAGAGGGGTGTATTAATTATTCTTGAGAAATCCCATGACATTATCTACATGAATGAACCAGCTTTTATTAGTCTCCTGACAATTTGAAGTATAAGCAAATTTAAGTTGGTAAATTAAAGTTGGTTAGTAGCTTTTCTCGTCGTGTGCAAAGGAGAGAACAGAGAAATTTTGAGGCTTCTGAGAATATTAGGGACCCTGACGTTCAAGTTATGTCT